AAGGGTACTAAACATTTTTTTTTTTTTTTTGGTTTTTAATCTTTCTTTCCTTGGCAATGGCATTCTAAGAAAATATGTTGATACAATTAGAATGCATAACACATTAAATTAAAATAGGGAAATTATGATAATATTACTAAATATTATTTACTTTACCAAACAAAACAGTGAGAATCAAGAAGGTAATTATGGAAAATTCATTTTTAGTTTTGTTGATGTTGTAAATTGAATGTATGTATTATATGTATGAAAGTGTCATGAATCAGTAACACTTTACAATAAGGTTTCATTAGTTAAATAATTTAACATTAACTAATAATGAACTGCACTTCTACAGCATTTATTAATCTAGTTAATATTAATTTCAGCATTTACTAAAACATTAAAATCAAAAGTTGTATTTGTTATCATTAGTTAATGCACTGACTGTGACATAACATGAATAAACAATTAACAGTTGTATTATTAACTAAAATTAACAAATACAGTAACAAATGTGTTGCTCATGGTTAGTTAAGTTCCTTACAATTTAGAGTTGGACATGGACTTTCATTTCACTGTATTTCCGCAAGCTACACTATGGCCTTGGATAAAAACGAATGACATTGTCACTCAGAATGCGTCTGGAATCGAGTTATACTTTTATTATAGTTAAGTATAACTCGCATGCTGCCGCAACTTTTAGAGTAGCATGGTAGGATAAATGTAATTTTCCGTATTAGCTTAAACGTTACCTGCTGCTCGTGTAGTTTGAAGACTCGCGCGAACTGCTGCGTAGTGCGTACCAGAACCGTAATGCCAGTTAAATCCAAGGGGGTAATCCATCGACCGGAAGTTGAAGCCGGCCGGGTGCCGCCATGTTGTAGCAGAACTTCACTTGCGTTAGCATTTCCATTGACTCCCATTCATTTTTGCGTCACTTTGACAGCGAATAACTTAACATCTGAGGCGTTTAAAGACTCCATTTGTCCATTATTTATTTCTAAAGAAACACGACAATGTATAAAGGGCTCCATTACCTTCTATGTTACACTATGGCCCCGTAGAAACAGTTTTTGTAAAAATAGGCTAACGATTGCGTCATAACCACTCGACTCTCTGTCGCGCTGTACAGAAATTACCGTACAGACAGGAGGAGAAGCTCGCAGGCAATCGGGGGGACGTCCCGTCAAGGGAGAAGCCCATAGATAATGAGTCCATAAAAGCAACGGAATTCTTACTCCTGCTCACTCACGCCAAAGAACTCTTTGCTCAAGTTCCCCGTCTCTGCAAGATTAACGTTGGCAGTTTTCACGCACAGCTACTAGAAGATTAACGTCTGTCAGACAGGTTGCTCACGTCATCAAGCTTAGTTTGAGTCGGTCTGAGTCTGCGCGTCAGGAACGGAAGTTCTCAAAAATCGCTAAAAATGGGCTTCAACTGTCTCAACTGAGTTCCAATGAGATCGCTCTGTCCATTTCTTTTACTGTCTATGGTTAAATCCGTACGAGGCGCTGCAAAGGAAACAAACTCCGCCTACCACTTCTCCGCCCAATTTTTTTCTTATATATAATATTTGTTTGTATTAGTGGCAAGGGTGTGTAAGTGTATTGTTATTTATTATAATATTTATAAAAATAACAATTATTATTTACAATTATCAGAAAAGGGCACAATTTTGAGACAAAAGGGGCAGGGGCAGGGGCAAAACGTCAGTAGCCTACGCTACGCATGGGTCAGAGTTTGCGTACGGTGCAGGTTCGCACATTTTCCCGTCAAGTTTGTTTTTATAAATCACAACTTCTGCGTCGGAAGTGGCGTAGGCCCCTGACCTGGGACTTGATGATTTCCTGTGCCTTATCACTGCTTAATCAGGTAATCATTCATGTTCCTGAAATTTGAGAAATGTAACTGATTTCCATTCAGTTTAGCTTGTTTCCACTGAAACACAATAACAAAAAATTGTGTTTATTAAGAAAGTGTCTGACATGGCTATTTTGTGATATTTAAAGAGATTAAGGTCTACATAAGGTGAATCTGCAGCTTCAAATGGATTCAGCCTGAAATGAAAATTATGTCATCATTCACCCTCAAGTTGTTCCAAACCTGTATGAATTTCTTTCTTCTGCTGCACACAAAAGAAGATAGAGTGAAGAATGTTGGTAACCAGACAGTTGATGGTAGCCATTGACTTCCATGGTATTTTTGTCCTACTAAGGAAATTAATGCCCACCATCAACTTTCTGGTTCCCAACATTCTTTAAAATATCTTATTTTGTGTTCAACAGAAGAAAGAAACTCATACAGGTTTGGAACAACTTGAGGGTGAGTAAATGATGACATAATTTTCATTTCGGGCTGAACTATCCCTTTAAAGACATTTTTATTGAAAAAACCTAAGCTCTTTTATTCTACAAGACAAACTTGTTACTTGAATGCTATGTAGTTTCACAGAAAATGAACTGAGATAATGGCTATAGCTCAGAGGTTCCTCTTCATGAAGGATTTAGCTCCAACACACCTGCCTGGAAGTTTTCATTGATCTACCTTAGCTGCCTCAGGTGTGTTTAATTAGGACTGGAGATAAAATCGGACACCCTTGACATAGTGCTTTCTTTTGATATTGAAGCATTAATAGATTTGAGAAAAATAAATTAAATAAACAGAATTTAACGATACTATAATCGTAGTTAGAATATTTTGTTCAGCAACGTAAAAAAAAAAGAAGATTTATATTGTGTTTATATTAACATTCTTGAATGTGACTATGTATGACAACTGAATTGACTCGTTCTTGAGTAACATCCTTTCTTTTTCAGATTTCAGAGGACCCAAAGGAAAAGAGGCAGTAGTCTGATGTAAGACAGATTTTTAAAAACCTGAACCGTTGGACCACCTGTAGTTTATGACATCAGACTTCTGAAGCCAATTTTATTTTTAAAGGTTGAAATGCTTTTGTCTTATTTTTCCCCCTTTCTTTTTTAAAGAATTATCTTTTAATATATTTTTGTCATTGATTGATTGAATAAAATAAATTGACTCAACTGCTGGAAAGGTGTAATTTATATTTTAAAAGGTTTTCGCCAAATTTTGAAATGGTCAGGAATTTGTTGGCGCACCATTGAAGTGTAGTTGAAATTTTAATGTTGTTTCAACATTAACTTGGGACATCAGATGGCAACATTGTTTGACATTCCTTTTCAGTAGTATTTTCAGTGTTTCAACAAAATGTATTTAGAATTAACATCACATTGTAACATTGATCAAACCATATTACCAAAGATTATTTTGGTTAATTTCAGTGTTAATTCAACAGCAGTGATGTAGATTCAACATAGTGTAACGTTGATTCAACAATATTATCATTGATTATTTTTGTTAATTTCAGAGCTGATTCAACAACAGTGATGTAGATTCAACATCATAGTGTATCGTTGATTCAACAATATTACCATTGATTATTTTAGTTAATTTCAGTGTTGATTGCAGCATCGGTGATGTAGAATCAATCAGTGTAATGTTGATTCAATAGTATGCATTGATTTTTTTTTGTTCAACGTTAACTGAGGGTGCAAAAGTGATGTTGATAAAATATCACTTTGTAATGTTGAATCAATTCTATGACCGTTGATTTTTGGTTGAAATCTCAACATTGCTTCACCATTAACTGAGGGTGCAAGAGTGATACTAAAGCAACATCCCTTTGTAACGTTAATTCAATGCAGTTAGCGTTGACGCATCAACACTGAGTCAACATTGTTTCATTGATTACATGCTATCTATTAATAGTATTAATGAATTAATACATAGGCCTATCCTATTAATATAGGCTACATAACTAAAGTAATATACTTTTAAAAGGTTTTCCGAACTAATGAAAAGTTTTGCCAGCGAATGCAAAGTTTGCATGTGGAACGATAAAGTTTTGCTAGCGAAAGCAAAGTTTCTCTGTGGAACGTAAAAGTTTTGGGAGCAAACGCAAAGATTCACGGGGGAATGCAAAGGAGTTTAATAATTTATAATTCCCTTTTCTCGGTGAAGAAAATATGAGATGAGAGTGAAAGAGAGGTCTTTAAGTGTTATATTTGCACGTGTTTGGACCTATGGCGAGTTAGGTGCCCCATTGGGCTGATAACTTCTAATCACCAAAAACAATAGCTTCACATTTGCACATCAATAAGGAATGTGCTAAGGTATTTATCACTCAGATGTAGCCATTTAGCCATGCACATCAATCAATCAGCGTGTTTCATTACTTAATCGTTATCAAAGAGGATAATGATCAGTAAAAATGGTGATAAAATAACGCAGAATTAACATAGGCCTTACAGCATGCTAGCTTTGCAAATCTGAAAGAAATAAGGCTGACTGACTGAGGTAATACTTGCTGAGTTTTAGTTAATATTTACAAAGGTGTAATGATATAGCTTGTGTGAAGAACTTTGGCATGTAGATGACCTGATTTTGGAGTCATGGGATGGGGCAAAAAAGGGACCATCTGGACCTTTGGACCATGGTAAACACACCATTGTTGGGTCTTTATGGTGCTGTTATATACATTTGTATATATTGTTAGTGTCAGTGCTAAGTTTAGATTCATGGTTCATTACAACCTTCTGAAAATAAAGATTAACTTTACATATAATGACCTATTCACACAGGGCAAACCACCACACTTAATTAAAGATTACCGCGCTATATCACCTCCATCTGAATGTAGATAGATAGCATTTACAAGTCTTGCAATAAAATATCAAATCAACTAGCCATTACTATACCAGAGAGGGTGTCAATTTAACAAAGCCATGGCAACTGGCAATATATTCACACGTGTGCGGTACAATCTGCACCGACAGGGGTCCACCACAGCTGCTAAATCTATTCCAGTGATGATTGGTCGAGACAAACATCTGCGGCTCAGTTACTGGCTGGGGTGTGGAATATGCAAATAAGCGGGACGAGGCTTTATTAAAGGACTCGCACTGTGTGCCGCGTGGAGTGGGTGTGTCGGCAGAGTCAGGCAGCAAACCTGGAGGTGTAGTCTTGAAATAACCAATTTTACATTAAAATCAGCGCTCGGAATTGTTTACAAGTCGTGTGTCTGCTGTAATGTGCTTTACTCAAGAGACCACTTTAAACTGAAGCACTATCTCTATGAGTTCCACAAGGTAAGGACTTTTTTTAATGCATTCTGGTGCCTCTAGTGCAGTTAAAAAAAACTTTGTGTGATATATTTGTAATCTGTTGTAATGTAAAAAATCTAGATAAGTGATGAATAATGACAATGTTTATGTTTTGTCAATGATGACAACTTCTGTTACTGGTTACTGTAATGTTTCAAACCCTAAGTGAAGCACATTTACATGTAAGTCAAAATTTAGTTTTAATGGATAAGTTCATACGGTGGCCGAGAGAGCTCAACGCGCTGCAACTGAAGAAAACGCATGCAAATAGAAAAAAACACACGCAAATTAAGATAACATCTTCATCAGTTTTACTTTAAATACTCACAACACAACCAAATACAGAAACGCGCTACAAAAGTTCACAACACAACCAAATATAGAAATGCCCTTCAGAAGTTCACAACACAACCAAACACATCCGATTCCACGCACTGCAAACCTGCAAACAGCACAGAGTCAGACCACAACGGAAATGTTTCCAGGGGACCCCGATAAGTGACGAACCCGGCTGGGACATGCTTATAGCTCAAAGTCTACTTATTTTATTTTTTAAACATTTTATTGTTTTTTTGCAAAACATACAGAGATGACATGTTTATGTCATATAACTTTGTATACAATATACAAAATGTATTAACAATATGTTAATGTCATCAGAATACAAATGAGTAAAGAAGAGTTAACAATGAGCTGAACATTTTTTATAATAAATAAAGAAAAAAGATAGAGAAAAAGAACATGAGGGTAAGATATCAATCTATACATTAGTTACATTGTACAAATTTGGTCATGTTATGTTTAAATAAGTTTCATAAGAAATGTTAGGTAATGCAGGGTTAGCAAAGTAGAGACTCTCACACACAGATATATAACGCATATTTTAAAAACTTTTTTGTATAAAATGTATATTTATTTGCAACAGTTATGTTAACAGCAATAATAAGACATTTCTGTAGTAAGAACACCTATTCAGCTGATGGACACCGTGCTGCGTTGTCATGGGAACATCCCAGGTGATGTTGTCTTTCCGTTGTCTTTTTTCGTTGCTCCCTTCAGCAAGTGCGTTCCAAACGGCTGTGATGGTAGCCTAAGTGCCCTTTTTTTTTCCTTCCCGCTCCCGGTAGATTCTTTTCCGCACGCACCCGCTCCCGCTCCGCTTAAAATTCACTCTGTTTACCCGCTATCCGCTTACAATGATTTTCTTCCCGACCCGACCGATCCCGCTAAATAAAAAAAAAATCTCGTTTCCAGAATCTCACATTTAAATTCCCCCTACTGAGAGAGAGAGATTTAGTATAACAAATATAAGATGTAGGCTATACAAAAATGGTAGCTAGGTCTATTTGTTATTTTTATTCGTCTTATCAAGATACACAATTCTTTTAACATTTACAGTAGAAAAAATGTCACAAAGGAGAAAAAAAAAAGCAAAATATGAATGAACGAAAATCCTTGGCTTATAGGCGTGCTTTTGCGAAATGAAATCACTTTTTTAACAGAACTATTTAACATCCATACAAGAAAAGAATGTCATGACGACCGTTAGTTCACCCAAAAATGAAAATTCTGTCAGTAATTACTCACCCTCATGTTGTTCCAACCCCGTAAGACTTTCGTTCATCTTCGGAACACAAATTAAGATATTTTGATTAAATCTGAGAGCTGTCTCACTCCTCCATAGGCTTCTATTGTAATTGAAACCTGCCGGCCCAGAAAGTTAGTAAAAATTAGTGACTACAGTGGCTCAACCTTAAGTTTATCAAGCGACGAGAATACTTTTTGTGTGCAAATAGAAAACAAAAATAACGACTTCATTCAACTACTCATCTTGTTCTGTGTGGGCCTGAGTGAGTTCACGTAGTGTAACAGCGTAGCGCAGCGCTACGTCAGAACGTAGGCTCACTATTGGCCAGCTTCACACTCATGACCAGCGTCGGCCAATAGTGAGCCTACGTTCAGAACAGAGGCCCACACAGAACAAGATGAATAGTTGAATAAAGTCGTTATTTTTGTTCGTTTTTGCGCGCAAAAAGTATTCTTGTCGCTTGATAAACTTAAGGTTGAGCCACTCTAGTCACTTGGACTATTTCAACGATGTTTTTACTAACTTTCTGGGCCGGCAGGTTTCAATTACAATAGAAGCCTATGGAGGAGTGAGACAGCTCTCAGATTTCATCAAAAATATCTTAATATGTGTTCGGAAGATGAACGAAGGTCTTACGGGGTTGGAACGACATGTGGGTGAGTAATTAATGAATTAATAGGTGAACTAACCCTTTAAAAGCCCTACAACCTTTGGGAGGTTCAAGGGCCACTGTCATAATAGTTTTTATCATTTCCACTCATGTCTAATTTTTATTGTGTTTCATAAAAGCACACCATTTCTTTTTAGAATATTTTGTAAAAAATTAAAAGCACGATATCTTAAGATACATTTGAAGGCTTTGTACTCACACATCTGGGTTGTCTTTTGTGTGTCTTTGTTTAGAGTTCTTCATATCCTCAGTCCCCCAATACCGGGTCCAGTTATGCCTGCGGATGTGGCTGTGCAGCTGTACATTACTCATTCTCCCCCACTGTGCAGCTTCCTGAGCTCTTATGAAGACTACAGGGCACGCAACCTGGTCAAAACCTGTTACAAACCCCTGCGGCCCTGCTTGAGCTCCAGAGCCCACCTGGAGCCCCCCTGTCTGGGCTGGCAGAATCCAAAATCTAAGACCAAGAAGAAGGTTGCGTTTGCAGACTCAAAGGGTATGTCGTTAACAGCGGTGCATGTCTTCTCTACTTTCGATAATAGAGAACCCGTCCCATCCGAACCTCAGTTTGACCTGGAAGACCTAGAGAACGTCACAGCCACTCTCCATATAAATTCTGTCCAGAGCAGAATTCTAGACTTTCCACAGCCAGCGGCAGACTATCTGGATTTCCGTAGTCGGTTGCTGAAGAATTTGGTTTGCTTGGAGAACTGTACCCTACAGGAGCGGGCCCTCACCGGCACGGTCAAAGTGCGTAACCTTGTCTACGATAAGTCGGTTCATGTGCGGATCACTTTCGACACCTGGAAGAGGTTCCAGGATGTGGAATGCATATTTATGAATAATGTCTATGGTTGCCAGGATACAGACACATTCTCATTTGCCATTGAATTACCTGGGTATGTGGCACCTCAGAATAAGTTAGAATTCTGCATTAGCTATAGAACTGGAGAGCAGACTTACTGGGACAACAACGATGGCCGAAATTATGGACTTGTTTCAACATCTTGGCAACAAAACAATAAATGGAATTCCTCAACTCAGAGTAAGAAACCAAATGAACCCAGGAAGTTAGGCAGGAAAACACAAGACAAAACACAAGTTTATAAATGTAAAAGTCCTCTCCAATCCAATAGCATTTTCCCACAGTGGCAGAGTTGGGGAAACATTGCAACCTGCAGCCCCTACTGGTGACTTGAGCTGACGTAATTAACTAGCTAACTATCCAAAAGTGTTAAGCTTTTAGCAACAATATTTCTCTCGGCATGACAACAGAAGAAGATTAACATTCTCTTAAAAGCCTTTAATATGATTTACCTGCTGATTAGAAGTAGAACTTTACCAGATTGGAGAGGGAACAGAGGCTGGTTAAAATTACATGTTGCTACTGTGCAATACAGCATGTTTTATTCTTTTGTTAAAGTAAAACGTATGTGATGACCCCTTTTCCTGAATAGCCAAACACATCTGTAAACAAGACCACTGGGGGTCTAGAGTAAACACTATATAACTGCTTTGTCAGTTTATTGTATAAAATGTGCCTTTGTCTGTGCTAAGAGAACTTTTGTTAAACTGCTGCCATTTTGTGTCACATATGCTGACTGTGCACTATAAAAAATGAAACCAAGAACAGATCAAGTCGGATTATTTGAAGAGGATATATCTAAAGCCTGTGTCTTAATGGCCGATTTTCTACGGAGCTCCTAAAGGGACACGGTGATGGAAAAAACAGGAGATGGGCGGAAAAACCTGTCAAACCTTTGTGCTCCCAAACATTTTGCTAGAGAACGCAAACGCATGACATGTAATTTTTCCTCCCGTGTCATATTTGTTTTCATCACTATGTCCCTATAGGGCTCTAATTTCAGTTGAATATTTTATAATGGAAGAGATGAACCGTTGGTGTGCAACCAGTGAGGTTATCCTTCATACTGAAGGGGTCAACTTTAACTGGTTACAAAAAATGTTTTTAGGTAAAAGAAAGAAATATTAATATTTATCATGTTTAATATGTACTCCTTGAATAAATTGGTCTTAAAATTAATTTGGTTTAGATCATTTTGTTTATCAAGCTTTTTATTTGCAAGATGTGCATATGTTTGGGTGTCTCTTTTTTAAAAAAAATGTTTGGTTTGGATGTTAGAAATGTAATTTTCTGAATTTTATGCAATTGAATGCAACATGCTAAATAAATGGTTTCTGTGCCTTAGGATCTGCTGAGCAAATGACTTAATTTTTTTTTATGTTTTAAGTGCAATTCAGTGAATATGAGGTTGTGATATTATGCATGAATCAGATGTGAAGATAAGAATGGCTGTATTTTATTAAAGAAAGAATGGATGCCTTGGTAAATGAGTATGTATTTGATGGGATTTTTCTTAAATTAATAAAAATTCACATTGTCAGATTCTGTTTCTAAATGACTTGAGTCAGTGAGAGTATATACTGTACGTCTGATCTGCCCAATGTATAGACTTCATACTTTCTTGCCAAAGTGACAAGAATATTGTTTCGGTCTGGGGACAATTTAGCAGGCAATGTTGCATGAAAAAACAAACACCCGTGACAGTGAGACCTGAGTTCCTTTACTCTTGTAGCTGTAGTGCAATGTTGAGTCAAGTATTCAAGTTAAACACTCAAGCACCAGCAAATATGTGAATAATAATGCAGTTTCCGAGGACTTCGAGAGAAGATAAGTTGGAGTATGACACCTGGGTTTTATGGATATGTGAATCAAGGGCTTATAAAATGCTTTTATATAAAGCTCTCTTTAAATTCATAAAAGCACTTGAAGCAGCCAAAGGTTCAATGTTAGCTCAGGGATTTCTCCGCTCAATGAGGAATGCAGAGAATGTTGAGAGATTTCCATTTTCCTACTTTGTTTTTTTAAGCATTCATGCATATATGAAACAACTCTTTAACACAGAGAAAGGATGGCTGATTTAGACTGAAGAGTAGACCTCTGATAACCCTGGATATCAACACCCTCTGCCAGATCATGTACAGAACACACAGTTCAAAAAAACATACCGTCATGCCAACCTTATTTCAGCTGGTCACCATTTATTAAATCAATGAAAAGGGAACACCATGTTGATAGCAGAGATTCTTTCAGGTTGCTCCATTATCAATTTTAGTGTTCAGACTGTGGTAACCAGTTAAATATATAACATGCACTGTGAGAAAAATATGGAGAACATGTCATGCCTCTGTTGGGCAATGCAACTGAATTTTAATTATATTAAAAAGTAATGCTAAAAGGTCACACAGGCGCAATCACACATACATCCACTCAAACTGCATATCAAGTGGCCGCCAAGTATTTTGCAACTCTTATCTCATTCTTGTGTGCCAATTCCTAATGGAAAACCCAAAGATTTTTAATGTATTTGTCTATCTGTCAGATGTGTCTATTTGTCTATCTGTATTTATGTATTTGTCTATCTGTCAAAGGGACAGCATGACAATAAATAGGCTTTACTGTTTCAGACTGATGATATTTCAACTTTGTGAAATATGTGTGAAATAGGTCAAATGACTCCGCTCTTTCCTATAGCAGGTTTGCAATTCACCTTAACTGCAGTTGCTTAGAAAGATAAGAGTTTCTTGGAGCAAAAATGTTCACGACTACCTTATAGTGCCTCGGCAATCCTTTTTTAGTCTCCAAACCTTAAGCCAAAGCAGGACATTTGCCTTGGTCTCCATTTTTTAATGATTCTAAAATTGAAGTTATGCAAACATTCGAGGGCAGATAGAGAGCTGGTCGGGGGCAGGAGCCATAAACAGGCCTAAGAGATGGCAGGAGAACAGTGCAGCATTCACAGTCAGTCAAGAACAAGGTCTCTCTTACTGAGTGCAAGGGGAGCTGGAGCGGAGTATGGAATGGATTTGTTAATACAGCTGTGATTTCCTGGTCTGCAAAGCATATGTTTTCCCCCGGGTATTGGCATTACAAACTCAAAGGTTTCATTTGCTTTTTTATTTCCTGTAGACGAATTGCAAACACGTGCAAGGATCCATGCACAGGATTCCGATTCAATGCAAACATAAATTCTTGTCTTACATTGTTTCTTCATCCTGCTATTCTGACAGTTTACCTAATGTGATATCTGATATAGTACATTTGTACAGCACAGGACACCAGAGCCAGCAGTCCATAAACATATGGCACAGATCTTAGACTACTCTCCTTCACAAACAAATTCTGTATCTGCATTAGGTCAAAGCTTTCATTAATTCCAGTTCAGTGGTGGACACCACCCTTTTTACAGTTTGCTTTTGCCAGTACTTGGTCAATGAGCCATTGTTTGAGTTTGGTATGAAGTCATCTAGAAGCAGGAACCTCATTTTATAAGGTGCCAGTACTGGAAAATATTATTTATTTTGTTCCATTTAGCTGAAAGAAGTCATTTTTGCTGAAACTCCCAATCACAGTGTGCACACATGTATAAAACTGCTCAGAACTTTGCTTTCATGAAGAAAATAAGCATGAGTCACAGTTTTAGTGGTGAATCATCTTAACTTGCTACTGTCTTGTGTTTTTGCAAGCCTCATGTTTACTGTTGAAAAAGAAGGAGAATAGTGTTTTGTAAAGTCGGCATAAAACGGAAGTTGCGACTTTTCTTCCCTAGTGTAATGTATATCCGAGTGAAACACCTTCTCGAACAAGAAAAAATTTATGGGATTGTGTCCATCGGAAATTGTCTAGATCATTATTGTTTGCTAATGCCGTGATCTCATGTGAGTGACAGGTTGCCCCGCCCACGTCATCAGAGAAGAGATACCAATGCACTGGAAACAAAATTGTGTATAAACAATTTTTACTGAGAAGTAAATTTCACAAACAATAACAAAGAAATGGCAAGTGACACATTGAATTACACATGAAAAGGAAAATAAGAACATTTTATGGTGACTTTAAGTGTTGAAAATGTTATAGTTTGGACTATAGTTATAAACATTTTTTTGATTTGATGTTTCATAAATTACATTTGACCATAGATATTTAGTTAGAAGAAAGCTGGGTTAAAGGGCCGTTCACACCAAGAACGATTACTTGTCACGGTTTGCAGGTTTGTCTGGTCATTCTGACTGTTTGTTGTGTGCTGTCATTGGTCTGATTTCCTATCAGCGTTGCCTAGCTACCAACTGCGCTGTCGAGCTAATCAGATCAGCCGCACCTGGTCATCATCGTTCCCTATAGTCAAGTCAAGTCAAGTCACCTTTATTTATATAGAGCTTTTTACAATACAGATTGTATCAAAGCAGCTTCACAGTGATAACATGAAAAAAATAAGCATGGGTCATAATTTATATGACTATATGTAGTCTACATATAGTCAAGAGTATATGTAGTCTTGTGTTCTCTTTCATCATCTCGTGTTCGAGATCCACCTATTGGAAGGGCATCCCTACCTGGCCTCTGCAGAAGCATCCAATTTCACCAAGTCTGGCAAGACCGACAGAAGCGCGCAGCCAATGCCAGGTAAGGCCCCACCCCCTTACCTGCGGGCATAGAAAGCCTGCATGCGCTACTGTTCTCCAGTTGACATTCGCTTCTCGCGATCTCTGTACTGACACAGCTCGGTTGGATTTACGCTGCTCACCTTACGTGTCTGCAGGAGGACAAATCGCCAGATCAGCCTCCGCCAGGCATGACAGCTGTTTCTCTACCAAGTTTAGCTGTGTTTGCTACTGAGCCGCCCACGCTCTCGCATCTTCTCATCTGTTTCCTTTTCCACGGCTGCCTGCCACGGATGAAGAAGGACGGCTCTCTCCGCCAAATCTTGGACCTCCGTGTGTTGGACAAAAATTTGAGGAAATACAATTTCAGAATGTTAACTCATGGCTCGCTCGCCCGCGCCATAAAACGGAACGACTGGTTCACATCGGTCGACCTGAAAGATGCTTTCTTCCACATAAGCATTTATCCGCCACACAGAAAGTTTCTTCGTTTCGCCTACCAAGGCACATGTTACGAATTCACAGTTCTTCCATTCGGGCTCTCATTAAGCTCTCGGAGTTTCTGTCTGTGTGCGGAGGCGGGCTTAACACACATGAGAATGTCAGGTCTGAGGATTTTGACATACATAGACGATTGGCTCATTATAGCCGAATCAAAGGAGAAAGTGTTGCAGGACACCTGCCGTGTGCTCACACACATCACATCTCTTGGGTTCAGGGTGAATGTGAACAAGAGCAATTTTACACCCAGTCAGACTGTGATTTTCCTGGGCTTGGAGTTGAACTCAGTCTCAGTTTGTGGCCGAGCAGACTATGTTCAGTGCACATAAATTATTTAGAGTTTATGACCATATGGAAAGCTCTGAATAATTTTCTGCCTCGCCTGCAGGGACATCATGTGCTCGTACGCTGCGACAATACCACGGCAGTGGCTTACATCAACCATCAGGGC